AGGTGTATGTGGCTGGCGCCTTAGCCGCTTGAGCCACAGGCGCCGAGCCAGTAAAATTAAAAAAAAATTGGCAGTTACACGTCCTTTATTGCACTTAAAAATTCTAATTCTCTACTGATGAATCTTAGTCATTTAAGATACAACTATTTTTGTGATTCTTACTCTTACCCATTTTTAACATACTTAGTTTTTATGCTTAAAGCATAATAACTAAGAAAATCATATCCCTAGTAAGTAAAAAGTAAGCTACCTTTACTTAATGACACACTCTGTTTATGACCAAGCCTACAGTCAGTTGGGATTCTAATTCCAGTTTCCCAGTGCAAACATCCTCTAACCCCCCGTTTGACATCATCCTGTACAAATATGTGAGGTCAGACAGTTAAGTTCTTGAACTCCTCCTAGAAAAAGTGCTACATACCTCACTGCTGAATAGCACTACCATCACCAGCTGGTCAAGGGGAGGACTTTGAAGGTGACTGGAGTGATATTCAGCAATGAGGTATGTAACACTTTTTCTAGGATGAGTTTTGGAACTGAACTGTCCCACCTCATAGGCACATGCTTCCTAGCTGCTTTTTAAAAACTAGCACATTCAGAATAATGATTACCTCTAGGTGGAAAAGGGGCATGTCCTTGGAAGAAGGCCAAGAGACGTACTGGTAATATTCTACTTTCCTCTTTTTGTTTTGAGACACAGTCTCACTTTGATGTCCTCAGTAGAGTGTTGCGGCGTCATAGTTCACAGCGACCTCAGCCTAGTGATTCTCTTGCTTCCGCCTTTCAAGTAGCTGGGACTATAAGCACCTGCCATAATGCCCAGCTATTTTTAGAGACCTGGTCTACTCTTGCTCAAGCGAGGCTCAAACTCCTCAGCTCAAGCAATCCACCTGCCTCAGTCTCCCTTTGTGTAAGGATTATGGCATAATTGGCCAATATTCTACTTCTTAAACTAGGTGACAGGTACCTAGATGTTGACCTTATTATTATTCACTGTAATTTACATACATGTATAGCATACATCATCTTTAGGATGTATAGAATACTGCATAATAAAAAATGAGGGAAAAAACTAAATCTCCTCATGGTTCATTTGTTCTAAGACTACTTTTTATTCCTCTCCCCTTTGATACGATGAAGCTCTCTGGATGCACATGTTCCAGCCAGTTTGTGGAAACACAAATCGCTGTGTGATTTATCATTTATCCGTCCTTCCAGCCCACACCCATCTCTCTGATCAGCCTGTGATATGACACCAAATCAGGAAGAACCCTAGCAGAATTAGGAAAAAAAAAAAAATCAGACGCACTGCTTTATTGATTTAATCGACCTAGCAAGCTGTCACGTGGGATTAGGCTGTAATAAACATAAACATTAAAACACGATTGCTGCCACAGCAGATTTTTTTTTCCCCAAGACACTTGTAAAGATCATAACTTCAAGATTGATTATATCTTGTCTTCTCACTGTAGACAAGACACATTTTTTGCTTGTTTTTCTTCTGTTCACCCTCCTTTCCTGGCCTAATAATAGGAATTCATTTAGGTTTCATTTTGTAAGTGAAAGATGGTAAAAAAAAATGTAGAATTGATATTCTTAGGGTACAAAGGTCAAATGGATGCTACCTAACCTGGTATTGTGTTTAAGACTTGAAGTAACTAGAGTCATAAACTGATCCACATTATGAGGTTGTATTTCTTGAGAAATAGCAATTGAAGAACTTGGAAACATAATATTGACAACCTTGGGCTATTCCTCACTTTTTTTTTTTTTTTTTTAGAGACAGAGTCTCACCTTAATGCCCTCAGTAGAGTGCTGTGGCATCACAGCTCACAGCAACCTCCAACTTCTGGGCTTAGGCGATTCTCTTGCCTCAGCCTCCCGAGTAGCTGGGACCACAGGCACCTGCCACCACAGTTTGTTGTTGCAGTTTGGCTGGGGCCAGGTTTGAAACTGCCACCCTCCGTATATGGGGCTGATGCCCCACTGACTGAGCCACAGGCGCTGCCCCTCACTTTTGTTTTTTAAAAGAACGAACATTTGTCTTCTTATCCATAGCCCAGATACTCACTGGGCTTGTAGAGGAAGTTTCTAGAAACAGAAGTCCTCAAAAACGTTCATATTTCAGGATGTAATAAAATCCCTTTAGCCTTACTATTTTCTCCATTCTTTGCTATTCATGATCAGCAATTCCAGATGGGACAAATTCAAAACCTGATAGCCATCCCTGAATTGCTATTTTAAGGACCGGCATAATGTAGTCCAATAATCTCACTTTACTGGTAAGTTACCTGAGGTCCAGAGAGGTCAGAACACCTTCATCAAGGTCATCCCCGTCTAGTTAGGGGCAGATGTGGAGCTAGAACCCAATTCTCCCAAATACCCAGGAAAGACAAACATTTTAGTAACAAGGGAAAAAATTATCAATAGCTTGTGGATGACGGTACATTTCCTAGATTTTTCAAAATACATTAAGCAGGCAGGAAGTATCACCAGGAGGACGTTACAGAGGGTTTCTTGGCAGATCCCTGCTAATTTTACCGGCCAGTATTCACCCCCATGGCCCATGCACCATGGCAGAATCTCAGTGAGGCCAGAGGGAAAACTACCACTCTAGGTTTATGCAAAAGGACAAAGCTTCATTTCCCTTTCTGAAATTTCAGTTTGGAGGTTCAGAATTTGAAATGAATGGGGGGGGAGGTTGCCTTTTTTTTTTTTAAAGCTACATTATAGCACCAGAAATAGCATCCAGGAGACCTAATGTTATTTTCTTCTATTCTTTCCATCTTTTTTTTTTCTCCAATGATTAAAGTTCTTTTTTTGAACCGTTGTACCCTCACATGCTCTAAGAATCAACGCATTTCAGGTTCCACTATGGTATCCAGCTAAGAAATTCCTTCCCAGAAGGAAAAAAAGCGGTATGCCTGGCAAGGTCTTGAGTGGGACCCCTGCACTGAGGTTCTTAGGGACACAATGGCGTCCTAGACGTTCTTTCCAAGCCAAATTACGAAACTGCGTATTTGAAACTGGTGTTCAAATCTATGTCTATCGCATTTTGAAATGAAAACAAAAATAAGTCAGAGGAAAAGTTATTTTTAAAAAGAAGAAACAGTTGGTTGGGAGTTTTAAAGTAAGGAAACGCTAGCATGAGTCAGACTGGGAATGACACTCAAAATTCTCACACGACTTGCATTTCTCCCACAGTGCCTGAAAGCGCCCCCCGGAATTCCCACGGCTTGGTCAGGTTGGGGCTCCTGGAGCCGCTGAGGACAGGAGGGTTCGTACCCGTCCCGCCTTTGACCTTGTAGCTATCTCCTGGGCAGGAAGCAGTTAATCAGTGAAATCTGGTGAAACAGAACGCGGGGAAAGCGAGCCCCGGCCCCGGCCCCGGCCCCGGCCCCCACGCGCGGGGTGGGCCAAGTGCGGACATCGCCCGAGGGGCCTGGAGACCCGCTGTCCTCGAGGGCCCAAGCGGGCGGGCGCGCGTTCAGGCCAGACGGGAGCTGCGCCAGCGGGGACCCGACGGGCTGGGCACAGGGTGCAGCGACAAGCCCCGAGGGGCCCGGGCTGCGGCTCCCAAGGCTCCCGGGTGGGCGGGCGGCGCCACTTACCTCGACGGCTCTGCGGGGCGCTGGGCGGCCGCGGGGCACTGGCGGGGACGGCGACGCGACTCGGATCAGTCGGCGGCACCCGGGGTGGAGGTCTGCCGCCTCGGGAGGAAGTGCTGTCAGCCCTGCCCTTCCCACGCAGCGCGCAGACGTGTGGCGCTCGCCCTGCGGCTTTGCATGGAGGTGTCAGGAGGCCCCCTGGGTCGAGACGGACAAAAGTACCATGAAGGACTCTTTGAAGTTGGCGGCCGCTTTTTCTAACGCGTCGAGTCTGCGCCCGATTTCCTTTGTTTCACCCCCCTCTGCACCATCACCTTCGCTAGTTTTTTTCTCTTTAATTCTGGGACAAGTTGCACCTGCCCCTCCCAGCCCTCCCCTACCTGCGCTGCGCACGCCCTTCTCTCCCGGGCGTCCCCTGGCGAGTCGACCCGACTTTGTAACCTGGATCTCTTAGGGACCTGGGGTCGAGCGATGGTTCGGCAGCGGGCTGGGAACCCGATTTATTTTGCAACGGCCCTTCCTAAGTGTTTACTTCAGCCCTTTCTCAGCTTCCTCTTTCGGACCAGTTGTGCAAGTTTCCCTCAGTCCGCGGCCCGCCCCGCAGGGGACGCCGAGCGGGGCTGGCGAGGTGACCCGCGCGTGTCGAGCGTCTCTCCCTGGGGCGGGGTGGAGGGAAGGGCGCCCTCAGCAGGGGCCGTTTCTCAAGCAGCCGATTCGCAATCCCTCCTCCTCCAAGTTCAACCACACTCAGCTGGCCTGCGCGGCGGTGGAGGAACAGGCGCTCTGAGCGCTGCACTGCTGATGAAAATGCAAATGGGATGAGCCCTGTGCGGTAGAGTTCAGCAATATCCATTTTATTTACACAAGGATTCACTCTTCACCCAGCCCTCCCACTTCCAGGCCTATATTACAAAGTGCTGAGGAGAGAAGAAGCGCCGCAAAGCACAGAGCCCTTTGTGGTCTCCGGATTTGTAAGAGCAAAGGATTGTTTGGAAATAGCCTGTGACTGTTGGGAGTGGAGTCCCCTGAGAGAAAGTGGCCGGAGAGGCCTGAAAAATGCAGAAGTTAAAATCAGTCGCGATTTGTAAATGTGGTGGAATTACCCTCCTCTTCCTCTCTACGGCTGTGACTTCAAGGGCCTAAGTGTGGGGGAAGGTGGGGGAGACGTAGAGACATAGGTTGGTCACATATTTATTAGGTGATTCCATATAGTTCTGTCATTTACTGAGAAACCATTTATCAAACCGCTACTCTGCTGAGAACGATGAGAACAGTAAGGAGGAACACAATTTCTGCTCTCGTGCAAATTGGCAGAAAACAGACAATAAGAAAATTAATTTTTGACATGTCAGGTAGTGTAAATGTTTTGAGGCAAATTAAAGGGTAAGGGATAGAGATTGATGGGCATTGAGGTGGGGGTTACTATGTTAATTAGGGTCACTGAGGAAGATACATCTGATAAATGGTACTTGATCAGACCTAAAAGGCATGAGATTAATTTGTATTGTGTTTTTGGATGAGAATATTCCAGGCAGAAGGAACGGCACGTGCAAAGGTCCTGAGTTGGGAGAGTACTAGAATGGATGGGGCGGGCAGAGAGGAGATGAGATTAAAGAGAAAAAAAGTGGCCAGACCACGTGTGACCTTGCGGCCTGTGGAAGGGACCGGCTACAGTGGCTCATGCCTGTAATCCTAGCACTCTGGGAGGCCACGGCAGGTAGATTGCCTGAGCTCAGGAGTTTGAGACCAGCCTGCATCAGAGCAAGACCCCATCTATAAAAATAGCCAGACATTGTGGTATGGGTGCCTGTAGTCCCAGCTACTTAGGAGGCTGAGTCAAGAGAATCACTTGAGCCCAAGAGTTTGAGGTTGCTGTGAGCTATGATGCCACAGGACTCTACTGAGGGTGACAAAGTGAGACTCTATTTCAAAAACAAAACAAAAAACAAGTGAGATGGGAAGTCATTGGGAGGTTCTGAGCACAGTCATCAGTGCTATATAGAAAGTAAAACCAAGCAACGGAATAGAGAATGACTTTATTAGTGGCAGGGAATATGGTATGATGGGGCCATTTCTTTGCAAATGAGAAGGGGCAGCCACTCAGAGGCTTGGAAGAGCATTCCAAAAGATGGAAGAACAAGAAAAGGTGTTGAGATGGAATGTAGGAGATTAGAGAGAAGGCAGCTGGTGTGGCTGGAAAATCTTGGAAGAGTAGGGCAATGGTAGAGGGTAGGGTTAGGGACAGAGGTAAGCAGGGACTAGATCAAGCAGAGCCTTGGGCCAAGTGTTGAGGACTTTGGGGTTTATTCTAATTGCTATGGGGAGCTATTGGAAGGTTTTTGGCAACTGAGTATATAGTTTGACTTATGCTATACCACCTCCTCCTGCCACAACTGGTTGGTGATTGGAAAATCTGTTGAATGAGGTAAGAGAAGAAGTAGAGATTACTCAGTAGGCCATGGCAAGAGCCCAGCCAAATGACAATAGGAGCTTTGACTAGTATCCTAACAGTGGAGATGAGAAGAGTTTGGAGTCAAGATACAGTTTTCAAAGCAGAACCAATAGCCATTACTGATGGTGGGCAGGGGTGGGGGGAGTGGCAGAAACAATTAGGAATTGAATGTAAACCAGTGTGAATGGTTCCAGACAAGGCTGGGTAGAAATGTCAGCAGGGACAAACTATGGAGGGCCATGAGTGGACCATGTCAAGGACTGTTTCCTCATCCTAAGAGCAATGAGTGTGGTAAATGATATTCCAAGATGGCAGATGGTGGGATTTGTGTTTTAGAAAAATCATTCTGGCTGTAATTTAGGGGATTGGTTAGAAGAAGAAAAGAATGGAGGTAGGAAGATTTCTGAGCTAAGCTGGGCAAGAAAATAAAATTGACCCTTGGACTATGGAAAATTGAAAATCCACATATAACTTTTAACTCCTTCAAGGCTAAACTACTAATAGCCCTCTGTTGACCAGAAGCCTTACTGATGACATATACACAGTTGATTATCACATATTTTGTATGTTACATGTATTCTATACTGTATTCTTACGATAAAGTAAGCCAGAGAAAAGAAAACATTACTAAGGAAATCAGAAGAGAAAAGATATTCATTAAGTGGAAATGGATCTTCATAAAGGTCTTTATCCTCGTCATCTTCAAGTTGAGTAGCTGGAGAGGAGGAGGAAGAGGTGGTGTTGACCCTGTGTTGTTCAGGGGTCAACTGTATAATGTTTTTGACTAGGTCAGTTGCAGTGGAAATGAAATGGACCTGAGAGATAAGATAGCATTTGGTAGGAGCTTGTGATGACTGGGAATGGCCAGAGTGAGGCAGATTCTTGCCTTTCAAGAATCAGGCTTATACAATGATGATTTCCTGTGCTAGTCCTAGAGAGGAGACCCTCGGCAGGAGAGCCTTCTATTTGGTAAAGGGAAGATCATGAGTTTTACTTTGAGCAAGTGGAATTTGACAAGTCTTTGAGATGTCCAAGTGGAGATTTCAAGCAGAGTTGTGTAGAAGGCTCTGTTGTTCAGAGGAGAGGTGTGGTTTCGAGGTAGAGATACACATTTGGCGTAACCAGTGTGGTGATTCACGAGATTGCTTAGAGAGACGATACAGCTACGCCTTCAGGAACTTCAGTATTCAAAGCAGAGGAAGCAAAACCTGCAAAAATGACAGAGGAAGAGCTTTGAAGGGGAGGGAGGAAAATGGGGGAGAAACTAGTATTGTGAAAGCCGCAAGAGTGGGAAGGAGTGGTCACTGATGTCCAGGGATGTTGAAAGGACAGGTCAGATAAGACTGAGATGTGCTCATTGGCTTTGGCCATGGTTAATGACCTTGGAGACCATTTTTGGCAGCTGGAGAGCAAAGGATGTGAAGAGTCAACACCATGACCAGAATAACCCTTGTAAAGTAGTTTGCTGATGAAGAGGGGTGAGTGATAGGAGGCAGTAAGTGGGCGATATGGGATTGAGGAAGATTTTATTGACTTTTAAGAAATGGCTTTCAAGTAGGAAGAATCCAAATGAGAGTGAAGAGTTGAACCATGAAAGAGAGGGTGGATAATCAATGGTTAAAAGTTCTCCAGACTGAGGAAGTGGGTAGGGTCTAGGCAGTGGTAAAAGAAAGGGCCTTTAGATAAGAGGAAGGAAGGAGGGTGGGCTTAGCACAGATAAGAATTTTCTTCTTTTATGGTTGTAAGATAAAGAAATTCCAGTCTAAAGCCTCTATTTTCCTTGCAAGATGTAGGTTCATCTGCTGAGGGTGAGATAGGAGGTAGGCTGGACATAGATTTGGGGACCTGGGGAATGTTTGATAAGGGCGGAGCAGAGAATGGGAGACTGGGTTGACATTGCCAGTTAGCATGAGAGTCTGTATGAAACTGGCGATCGTGGATTATGGTGGAAGTGATCTGCTTAGTTGTGGCTCTGTCCTGCACTGTGAGGTTTGAAGACAGTCTGGCCGTAATGGGCGTGGCTGAGCCAGAGGATGGATTATTATGGCCAGAAGGTAGGCAGATTGAATTTTGCTTCCACACACAGGTCATGATATTTTTAGGTGCTGATTATGTCCAGGATGATCAAGGTGGTGACTGTAGTGATCAGGGAAGCAAGAGGCCATGGGGTTATGTGTATTGTTCCAAGACTTAAGGATTCAATCCACTCTGGACTAGGGTGGCAGCATAACTGATTGTTAAAACCAGGATATTTTTGAGTTAGCCAGACTGCTAACTGGATAGGAAGCTAAGAACCAATTGACTCTTTGAGACGGGATTTAAGATCATCTTGAAGACTGGTGTCAAGGAGTCGGGCATCAGGATTTTGAAATGAGAGAGGAGGAGATTGGGAATTTGGGAGATGACAGTTCCAGGGAGGTAGACAGGGTAGTTTAGCCAAATGATGTGAGCCTCAACAGAGAAAGGTGTTTTCTTTGCTTTTTGTTCTGTTTTTAATAAAAAGATGAGCCACTTTTGGTCTATATGTGGCAACAGGGGGTGTGGGGAACAGCAAACTCATCAGGCAGCTGAAATTTGAGAGAATGAACTGTTGGATAGAGTGAAGACTATCTGATAGCACAACAAAGTGACTACAATCAACAATAAACTAGGGTATGCTTCACTATAACTAAAGTAGTGGATTGGAATGCTCCCAATAAATAAATGTCTGAGGAGATGGATACCCCAGTTACCCTGATTTGATTACTATATGTTGTATGCATGTATCAAGACATCACATGTACTCTGTAAAGATATACACAACTATTATGTTCCCATAATGTAGTAGCACCTCCATAGTTAACCACCTCCTTACCCTGACCACCTCCTTAAGTTGACCTAATTCTCATAGACTGGACATGCACCACCTGTATGTATCCGTACAGTAGGCCTAATTCCAGGGTGTCTAAGCTTTTTTGTTTGTTTGTTTGTTTGTTTCACATTGGAAAAAGAGGA